AACTGAGGCTTAAGGAAATGCTTATAGTTTAATGCTTTTTAGGAATAGGCTCAAATGCTGGGAAACAGTAGCATACAGACCCACTCTGCTAGCCTGCAACCAGCCAAGTTGAGGGAATTTTCTTGGGGGCCCAGTTCCATACTGAGCAGGGCATTCTGGGAGAAGCAGTTGTATATCCAGAGTTGCCCTTACACACTGGGCAAAAAGGAATGGATCTTTCCAACCACAATGGTATATATAAGCAGCCCTATAATCTCTAAATACATATGACATGGAAAAATAATATCTATGTGTTTTTTTTCATTGTTCCCCCAATCTCTTCCCAACCTGTCTACATCTTCATTCAGGCAGATTAACAAATTTCCATTTTGTCTGAATGAGTCAAAATGTACGCCAAGTGAATAGTAAAGAATAAAATATCACATAAATCTAGAAGGATAGAATGGCAGAGCTATAAAGTTCATCTAGTCAAACCCTCTCATTTTTCAGATAGATAAACTAAAGTACAGAGAGGTAAAGTACCTGCTCAAAGTCACAGAGCAAGTCAGGGGCACAAGTTGTCTAACTCCTAGTCACTGTCTTGCTGGTATTACTGAGATCACCAGCCTTTTGGGGTCCAGATTTATATTTAGAATGAGCATTTGAGGTCACTGGACAGTGAGCCAGGGATCCAACCTCAACCAGCTACTCCAGCTACAAGCATCCCCCTGGTTGGCTTCCAAATACCCCAACCTCTCCTCCTCATCCCTTCCAGTATGAGTCAAGGTCCTAGTTTGGGATCCAGTTTGGTTGGAAAGAAGGCAGAAGAGTTACTTGAAAGATGCCTGACCAATGGCCCTGTGGCCCAAAGCTCCATTGTAGGCTCTAAACCAACCTGATCAAGTTTATCTGGACAGTAGACAAAAGCTTTCAGCCAAAGGCAAGACCCTGGCAGATTTGCTCAAAAAATACCTGCTTCCTAAACGCAGCAATTTAGTGGTCAGCCCAGTGAGACATGAACCAAGCAGTGAAAGGCCCTAAGATGGGGAAAAGAAATATAGCCTAACCTGCCTTTGACCCAACCCATCCTTGGGACTCTCTGTCTAAATACATAGTGTATCATTTTCCCCATGCCTAGAAAATTCTGTCTCCATTTGAGTGATCCATGAGTCTGAACTATCTTGTACCCAGTAACAGATTTTCCTGACTATTGTCCCCTTCCCTGGGTGGTGAGAGCCCGAATCCCTATCCTCCAACCTGGGAGCCTACAAGGGCCATGCTTATAAACTACCCAATAAAAGATGCCTCCCATCATATTTTATGGCTCAGTGTTGGACTGTTAGTCAAGGTGTAAAGTGCAGAGTAATGGGTTTTCTCTGGAGCACATTTTAAAAGACCTAAGCTTAGAGCCAATGTTAACAACTCTGGCTTGGTCTACCTTGTCCCCTGGATCCCCAACCCTAAGCCTTCCCTAGTTCCAACCCACTTAGGGTTCCAATAATGACCTGGGGCCCACAACCAATGCTATCTTGTTCCTCTTTACCCTCTTTCCTCCAAAAGTCAACTTTCCCTGGGTCCTATGCCTGGGAGGAATGGCAGGCAAAATGTTCCTGAGATAGAGGCAACTGACCAAGGTCTGGTTTTGGGGGGAAAGGAAAAGATCAGGAGAGAAATGAGCCTATACTTTTTGCAGAGCTACAAGGAAAACTCAACCAGGAAGCCATGATATACTTTCCACCAGATTGCCTGGCCGCCCTGTCCTTTCTGCTGCTTGGTCCTGGCAGGGGGACTCCCAAATTTCCCACAAGCTCTGAAAAAAGTATAGGCTCATTTCTCTCTTGATCTTTTCCTTTTCCCCCTAAACCAGACCTTGGTCACTTGCCTCCATCTCAGGAATCTTTTGCCCGCTATTCATCTCAGGCATAGGACCAAGGGAAAGTTGGCTTCCCTTCAAAAACAGGTGAAGAGAAGGCACAAGATATACTGTTAGTGCCACCACAGAACTCTACACATCACAGAATCCACAAAAACTATACATTGCATGCTCTAGAATGGCCTGAATTCCATGTCCTTTCTACTCTCCATGGCTTTTCCCCGTGCCCAGAGACCCCTCTGATGTGGAGTTAGCCCCCAAACAACAAAACTACCTTTCTCTGGGGCTGCCTCATAACAGTTACAATTATCTGCAGAACCTTAGATTCATAAAGTCATTCAGTGGCAGCTTTAGAACTGTAAAGATATTAGGCCTAGCCAAAGAGAATCTGGGGTGTAGGATGCCTCCAAACATTAAATTCACAGATTTTTAGAGATGAAAGGCATGTCAGACATTAATAGAAATGGACAATGCACCACATTAATAGAAATGTATAATGCACCAACCTCTGTGATTATGGGGGTATATGTTCCATGTTCCCCAGAATGGTTATTAGGCAAATGCTGGCTGATAAACATTTTAGCAAGCTTCTACTTCTATCCTTTTGAGACACCAGTGCTGTGGCACAAGTTGCTGGGATATTTTGAGTAAACTGTAGAAAGCATCTGGAGGCAGAGACACATTTGGAATCTCAGGATCTGAATGGTTACTTGGGAAAGCTGAGGGGACCAAGAAAGGTAGTGCTAAGGATGAGATTTTTCTAGGAGCTCAGGAATGTGGTGGGATATTCTTGACCTTTTCAAAATAAAAACTGAGGTGTTCCCAAGAGCATCCAGTATCAAAAATAACTTTCATGAATTCAAGATGCACCACAACAAGGACCCAAGCCAAAGTATTCTGAGACCCTAGGGACATACCAAATTCCTTTCTGTCCCTTCCTGACCTATACTCACCATAATTTAAACCAGTAAACCCAGCCCTTCAATGGACCTAGTCTGTGTCAGAGTACACACCAGCCACACCTCTGCACAGCCTACTGCCGCCCCCCCCCCTTTCCCAGCTGCACTGTGAGGTCTTGACCGGAAAGTCCCAGCCAGCCCTCCCCCTGAGTCCCCTATGATCACCTACTTTGAAGTTTGTTCCCCAGCAGTAAACCTCTTCCTGGTAAAGTAGTGGTTTTTCCAAGTTTTATTACATACTCTGAAGGGCCCAGCTCTAGGCCTGCTCACACCACATGAATGCCAGGACCTAGCTTCAGCCCATCCCCCACTACCTCCCATGAAGTTCCACCCAGACTTTGCCACTGACTCTGAAGGCCAACAACCTGCCTTCAACCACAGGGCAATGCTCAGCAGGTGCCCTCCTAGGTAACCTAGGCAACAGCCAGAGGCCCTACCCTGGCTGCCTTCCCAAGGGCCCCTGAACTGCATCAAAGCAAGGAAAAGGTAGTCCCAAGGGTGAGTATGGCAGTGACGTTACTCCCAGTTGTTCTACACAGTCCAGGGACCCCTACCCTTGGTCATCAGTGTGGCCTGGGCAATTTCCGCCCTGGACAGCTACTGAGGCACACTCTAATTTTCAAGTGGGACCCACACATTGTGGTGCCAATGGGTCATAAGAGGCACCAAGAGGTACCCCAAATCCTCTTCTTCAAAGGTAGCCCATGAAACGGCAAACTTTAAAAAGGAGGTTCCTTGGTTCAGAGGAGCTGTAGGAGTGGCTGTTCAAGGGCCCAGGGAATCCACAGGTGGATGCCCTAGAATTCAAGGTTTCTATGTTCAATAAATAATCCGGAGGCCCCCACAGAAGGCAGCAGAAGTACTTGTTGGGGTGGTGAGATGAGGGAACCCTTTAGCCCCAGGGCAACACTATGAAAAGCCATGTATTCTGAGCTGCGAACTTTCAGCCAGTGACAGCAGAGCTGTCCTGAGGAGCCACAGGAGCAAGCCTTCAGGGAGAAGGCATCCCAAGTCCCTCGCTCCCTCCCTAGACTCCTCATCAGAACTGCCAAGGGGAATTGCCATTGGCTCTCTGAGAAAACAGGATAGCTCCTCTGACTTCAGAGCCTATGGGCAGATTCAATGCGAAGAGAAGGCAAGGTTGCAGTCTTGCGGCCAGAGGCCTAGAGAGTGAAGGCTATGCCCTGCAGCCCTGCCTGTCTTAGGGAAGAAGACCAAGTCAGCCCCACACAAAAGTGGGAGAGGTGGAGGCCGGCACTCTGGCTGAGGCCAGACGAGGCATCCCACAGATAGTGGAGAGGCTCCAGACGAGGCATCCCACAGATAGTGGAGAGGCTCCAGACGAGGCATCCCACAGATAGTGGAAAGGCTCGGCGCCGGGGAGGGAAGGCTCAGGTTGGGGGAGGCGTGGATTGAGTCTCAGGGCCCAGCCTGCCAGCTGCCTTACACTCCTCTGGCAGGAGACCTCGGAGACCGCCTCCCTGCTTGCTTTGGGGTTCAGCTCAGAGGGCACAGAGATCTGCTCGCTCCCTCAGAGTGGTAGAGGCCGGCCTGGCCTGGCTGGGTCATAACCACCGCAAGCAAAGAGACGCGCGCCCACCCCACTCGCACTCCCTCCCTTCCCCTCTCTTTCTCCAACAGACACACACGCCGGCCTTGTGTTTGACTCTTCGCTCAGTCACCAGGATTCTTAAAGTGTTTTTGACAGAAAACACCTCCGCTCCCTGTACAGGAACAGGGGCTGCTGCGGAGATCCGCAGTACGGTATTTCTCTCAAAGCCCTCCCAGCCTCCCAACTCTCTCCTCTCTCCATGACTTCGCACCGCCTCCAAAAAAAATCTGCAAATATTTCCCCCCACTACACATGATCAGCATACTTAAAAAAAAAAACAAAAAACCCAAAAGGTGCGTCTGGATTTGTACCAGGGCTAAAAAGTTCATTCCTTGCCTGTGATCAATGAATATCCCAGGTCCCACCCAAGGGACGTCTTGCGCCTAGTCTCCATAGGTAAGGGTGCCCTGAGCCCCGCAACCCGCGCCTTAGCAGCGCCGTGGGCAAGGGACAAGGGGGAGGAGTCGAAGCAGAAAGCTGAAGGGGCGCCTCCGACCGAGAGGTCAGGAGTCGGCGGCAGTGGGAGCCGAGGACACCCTTGCCCAGTATGCCAGGAGGGGCGCGCGGGGCCACTCACCTGCTTGGAACTCCACTTGGCGATTTTTCTCTCTTTCCTCCTGCAGCAGCATGGAGTAGAGGATCCCAAAAGAGTTCTGGATGCCAAAGATGGAGCCGTTGCACCAGGTGGCAGCGAAGACCACCATCCAGCCGAAGCCACCTTCGGGGGGCTGAAAGCCGCGCGCGGTGCCGCGGGTCTCCACGGTGGGCGTGGACTTGGATTCATGCACTGGCTCGGGCTCAAATTCCAACTCCGGCAAGGGTGCAGGGTCCGGTAGGGGCTGGGGCTCCGGCTGCGGCTCGGGTGGGGGCACTGGCACCGGCTCCGGCTCGGGCTCTGGCTCGGGGCTGCCCACCCACTCCTGCTGTTCCTGGTCTGCTTCCCGCCAGGGCCCCTTGGCTTCCTTGCTCGCCAGGCTTTGCAGCGCCATCTCGGCAGGGGGACTGTGGCTGCTCCGGCGGGAGGAGCCGCTGTGTGGCTGGTACTTGTTTCTGCCGCTTCTGCTGCCGCTGCTGCCGCTGCCGCCGCTGCCGCCGCCGCTCCGAGCACTGCTGCCGCCGCTGCCTCCTCCTCCCGGCTCCGCGCCCCAGCTGGCCCGCCTGTCCCGCGACAGACGGTCCCTAGAGTCCTCTCCTCCTCCTCCCACGTCCAACCCCCCTTCTGCTCTCCCCATGTCATCTCTCTCCTCCCCCTCCTCTTCTCCCCCCCACCTCTTCCTCCCTCAACAGGCAGCCGCTACAGCCTTGCTCTTCTCCCTAGCCCTTCCTGCTCCCCATACTCGCCTACCTACCCTAGCCACTGCTCCCTACCTCAACTTCCTTTCCAAACTACTGAATGCTGTCCTCCTTATCCAGATACCCAGTAGAGGGAGAGTTTAAATGGTTTTTCCATAAACTATCCTGCTCCCCCTCCCTTCTTCTCCCCACGGGTTCCAAACAGGCATTGATCACCCCAGAATTTCCAGGGAAGACCCCACTGTCCTTTTCTCCCACTCTCTTCTTCCTCACAAGCAGCCTGGAACTGAGGTGGTCCCGAGGACCCCAGGACAAAAGTTGGACTGTGAGAGACCCCACCCTGCCCTCAGGAATCTCTTTGTCCCCCACTTGGGCTTGCGGAGAGCGACCTGGAGGGGAAAACCCAGACTTCGGACAGAAGGTGGGCACAATCTTCTAGAGCCGGGGGCTCAGCCTCCCACGGTCCTGCGCAACCCCCACCCCCACCCCCACCCCCAATCTCTCCCCCTTCGCCCCCGCCCTTCCCGGCAAATCCCTGGCGGGGCGCGAAGGGGAGGAGAAAGCCCGGCAGCGAGGCCCGCCCCTCCGGGCAGTCAATCAGGGTTTTGTTTGCGCCAACCTGGAGCCCAGAGGAGCGGTAGAGGGCCGGGTCTGGTCCGGGGGCTGGGCCAGGAAGGGAGGGAGGTGCAGTGACACCGGAGGGGGCCGGGCCCAGGCGGGCCCGGAGCCCAAGCTCAGCTTAGGCTCCTCCCGGCTCTCTGTCCTGCAGTGGGGAACTAGGAGTCGACGCCAGGTCAAGCAGCCCGTTGGGCAAGGGCCGATCTTCCCGCCCTCCGGACTCCGCTGAGCCTCTTGCGGAGGGTGTCTTTCCACCGCCCCCTTCCGCCCACCTCAGGCTTAGAGACGTGAGAGTCTCGCTGAATGTCCCAGACTAAGGCCCCAGGCCCGCGAGGATAAGGGAGATTTTGCTCCCCAGACAGCGCACGGGTCCCAGGAGGTGGGATGGGTGATCTGCCCTGTGGGCGGCCCGGCTCCCTGCCGGAGTGCGCTGCTGCGACCAGCCTCAGCCCTGGGGACCCGCCCCACGATCCCGGGAAGTTCTGCCTCCCCTGAGGGCCCACGCATCTAATGCACTAATCATGAGGTCGCGGTGTGGTTACTAAGCTACTCCTCTCTCCACCAGCAGGCGGGAGAGCGCCAGGCTGTTTCTACCCGGCATCTCATTAACCTTCTTCCCGGGTGAAGACTGTATGGCCGGTGAAAATGCAGCTCAGGGCTCTGCCAGATGCCCACGAACACAGAGTTACTAAGCACGTAAGAGCGGGCTGAATAGAGGGTTTTCGAGGAGCTTGCCTGTCTTGAAAGGAATCCGTCTAAATTCACAAATCACGGGGGCTATACCAGTCAGCAGAGCAGGCATTGATTGAGCGAATAAGAGCGCCTTTACTGCCACCTTTTTAGTCAAGGGTCTCACCTACTTTTTCCAAGCACAAAACCTGAGGCTCAACGAAGTCAAGGCATTTTTTAGCCTAAGGTCATAGGACAAGTCAAGTACAAGCTGGAATTCAAGGCAGGTCTCCATACATCAAAGCCTCACACATTTCCTAAGCTTCACCACAGCAGGCTAGGGCTTGGCACTTTGGGAGAGGGACAAAGGAAGGAAGACAGGATTTGGCTGAGAAATCACAGTAGGCTTCTGGGAGAGGTTGTGGCCTAGATGGGCCTTGAATGTTGAGAAGGATTTTAACAGTCTGGGGGTAGGGTGGGGTGTCCCTGCCTAAAAGAGACAAAGCACAGAGGCATAGAAGGCCTCTACTCATGGAAAAGAGGTAAGTGAAAGTTAATCAGGCCAAAGAGTTAATATTTATGTTACCTCTTCCAGGAAACATTTACATTTTAATAAAAATCCACAATGCTTTAGCCATGAGTGACAAATCATGCACATAATGGGCACTAGGGCTTAAGATTTGCCTTTTAGTCAGGGGTCTCACCATACACATGACCAACTATTGCCCCAGGGGACACTAGCCTTGGTTTCCATTTGCAGGGAACCTGAATAAAACCCTGAAAAAAGGTTGTTTCCAATCCCACAACTAAGACTAGACCTGGAGTCATGCAGCTCATCTTATACCCTACTGTCTAAATTCTGTTTCCTCGTTGTTTAAATGGGTTTTTAGATCACCAGAGTGGGGGGTGAGGGTGGATAATAACACTCACTGAGAATCTCCTATGAACCTAGCACTATGTTAGCCCTCTACATACATGCTCTTATATAATCATAACAACCCTATAAGGTCGGGATGGCTTTGTGCCTATATTATAACTGAGGAAACAGGGACTCTAAGAGGTTAAGTCAGTTGCTTAAGTCTACAAAGCCAGTAAGAGGTAGCACAGGAATTTTTGCTTATTTGTGTGAGCTTCAAAGTATATGTCCCTCCCAGAAGACAGGATCCTGTAACCACCATCCCACTATTCTAGGAACACATGCAATATCTACCATTTCAATCCTTTTTAATGGCTAGAGTACTGGTATGAGAAGATCTGGGTTCTAATCTTGATTCTACCATTGCATACCTGTGTGGTTCTAAGCACATCGTTTTCCCTTTTTGAGCTTCAGTTTCTTTATTGCAGAATGGAGCTAATACCTACTTCACAGTTATTAAATGGCATGCTGAGAAGTATAGGCTTTATTTTGGATATACAAGGGAGCCACTGAAGATTTTTGAGTAGGAGACTAACATCAAATCTACATTTTAGAAAGAAAACTGTGGTGACCGCGTAGAGAGATACTGTGGCTTGGACAGATAAGAGGTAAGGAAACCAAGCAGGTTAAAAAAATGTTGATAATATGAAATAGGGCAGTGACTGTGAGGATAAAGAAAAAAGGATGACTCTGTGAACCACTGTTATAAAAGAGTTGACAGATTTGGGTACTGAGGGAAAAAGAAGAAACAAAGATGATGCTGACATTTGTTGCTTGAGTGAAGGAAAAAGTGGTACTAGTGTTAACAAAGATTGGGAATTAGGAGCCAAATCAGGTCTGACATGCCTGTGACTTCCATTCTTTTTCTAAATAATCCTATCAATTACAGCTCTAAAATGCAACTTTAATCATGATATTTCTCCGGGCGCCTGGGTGGCTCAGTTGTTAAGTGTCTGCCTTCGGCTTAGGTCATGATCCCAGGGTCCTGGGATGGAGCCCCGCATCAGGCTCCCTGCTCAGCAGGAAGCCTGCTTCTCCCTCTCCCCTTCCCCCTGCTTGTGTTCCCTCTCTCGCTGTGTCTCTCTCTGTCAAATAAATAAATAAAATCTTTTTCAAAAAGAGCATTAATCATGATATTTCTCCGCTCTAAAAACTTCCAATGATTCTCCATTTGAATCTTAAGTTTAAATTCCTCAGCCAGGCATAAAAGGTCCTTTATGGTTTGGGACCAGCCTTATTCACTCAGCAAATATTTACTAAGAGCCTCTGTCTGCCAGGCTCTATACTAAATATCAAAGACACACACAAAAAAAACCTGGTGCCTGTTTCTGAGGATCTTATATTCAACCTGTCTAGCACCATTCTCCGTCATTTTGTTCCCCTCTTTTCTTCCATTCATGCCAGGCTCCAAACACGCTGGATTACCTACCATTTCATGACTTATGGGCACCTGCTGATTTCTCAGCCCTCTCCACTGATTCTTCCCACTGTTCTCCAGTTGAAATTTTATGCCTTTCCTGAATCTCCAGAGTCAGTTCCACAAAGCAAACAGGAGGGTTAGTGCTGAATTGAGGAGGCATGTCTCTTGCCTTTCTTATGCCATTCAGCCATTCATTTCACAAATAGTTATTTTGAGCAACTATTGTGTGCCAGTCACTATGTCAGGTGCTGGAAACATACAATGGTCCTTGTCCTGGTGGAGTTTACATTATAGTGGGAACTATTAATAATTATAATTACCATTTATTGAACTTGACTCCACTAGACTGGATAAAGACATTTTGAGATTGAGGAAAAGGGAAAGGAAGGATGTAAAGGATGAGACAAAGTTGAGAATGAGGTGGTAGAGGTAGGGCTGGTGTCTCAAGATGAATGAATTTTTCTACAAATTTCTAAGTCAGACTTAGTCAACAAACATCATCAATAGCAAAAAAAAAAAAAAACTCTTTAGAAAGCACCTACTATGTATAGATCTGTTCAGCTTGGCTCATGCTCATGACAAGTAAGTAAGGTGTGGCCCCTGTAAGCCCTTTAAATTATTTTACTTGTCTGACTGTGGACTTTAGGAAACTCTAGTGGAGGTCTCTGGTTTATACTGCAGCTGAATGAATGTGCTTTCTTTCTGGCCCTGACAGAAATAATCCCACAGTGGAATCATTCCAATTGTTTATGCCCTTGATTACTCATACTAGTGGGTGAAGCAAAGCAGTGGTTCCCTGACTTGGTCGCACATCCAAATCACCTAAAGACTTTTTATAACAGTACTGCCTCCTGGGTCCCAATCCACACTTGCTGAACCAGAATACCTGAGGGTGGGAGCCAGGAATTCATAGTTTTAACAAGTCTCCCAGTAATATAGATGCACTGCCAGATTTCAAATCCACTACCCAAAACAATAATAACCCAAAATTTTGATCTCAAAGACTAGAATAATTTCTGTAAAATTTCTCCCAGAACTTTTGGGACCAACATAAGGATATCAATTTTTAATGTTGCCGTGTGAGGACA